AAACAGGACAAGCGCCAGGAAACAAGATGGCGCGATGGTTGTCGCCTCCTGTCTACTCTAGTGGTCTGGAATTGCCTATAGAGGTAAGGGATGGGGTATCTGTTGTTCTCCCGGAAGAAGGGACGTGGACCGACCTAGAACCAGCCTATGAAACCGTGATGTTGAACGAGAAGGACGCGTTCCTCTGGATAGAGACAATCTGGACTAAGGTCAGCCTGACGAGACTTTCACCTAGCTTGATGGACCTAGAATTCCGGGGAACAGTGGAAGCTCGAGGATGGGTCTACCTATCACAGGAATTGGAAAATGCAATGGTAGTGGGACTAGTATTGGGCACGGCACCGGATCAGCTGTTTAGGCAAGCGGAATGGGAGGTGGTATGGGCAGCATGTCAGCGGGCAGAAATGGAGATGGAAAGGATGGAGGTGCGAGTGGAACTCGGGGACCGGAAAAATATGAGACGTCCTCTTAGGACAATGAGGTGCGTGCTACCCCCGTTTCTGGTGGATGCAATCTTTGGGACCAGGGATAGACTGGAACGTATATGCCAATCGATGACACGCCTGAGGCTGTACCAATGTACTAGACAAGACTTCTTTAGATTGTCGGTGGAAGGAGGGCCGTTTGAAGAAAACTGGGCGAAAGAATTAGCTGAGGTGTTAAACCTCCTCAGCGCGGACGAAGTTTTTGTTCCTAGTCCGGTGCATTGGCAGATAGTTTACCGAAACGTGGCGGCGGGGGAAACCTTCTTGGAAGGGGTGAAAGAGATGTTCTTAGACGAGGAGGAGGATTCCAGTGATGAGGAGGACGGGGACGAGATAGAGGACTGTATGGGACTGCACATGGGAACCAAGACGAATCGGAAGGGGAGTAGAGATGTCAATACCGCCGAGCAATGAATGGAAGGGGACCACATGTGATTGTTGGGGGTATGAGATTGTGTCGGAGCTATCGTACCTATGGATAGAGTGTGTCTGGAACCCGTTGAGGGAAGAGGAAGGATGGGAAGAGATTGCGGAAGGAAGGGTGGAATCAGTCGGGACGATCATTCTCTCTGAACAAGGTTGGCACCTGTTCTGCACGACGCTCACGGCAGGACAGAACCCGATGTGGCTTTTAGGGGACGCTGAGGCAAGGGTTCGGCAGGCGGGGGAAAGGTTTGCTAACAAAGGTTGGGATACGGTCAGCAGTAGAGTCGTGATGGGAGGATGGAAGGAATTTAAACCGCCTGGCACCCGAACCAAGATCTGGGTGCCCGAGTTCGTGGCGGACTGGTTTGGGGGTTTTCATCACGTAACAGAGGTAGCCGACACGATGGAACGAATACACGTGAACTGCGCATGGCTGGCAGAGGAATTCTATAGGACGTCCTTGAAATTCGGGCCCTTCCACGGCAATAGAGCCCGGGAGGTTCTTATCATTTTGGATATTGAAAGCAATGACCGACAGGAGGTGGCCCCGGAAACTAGGGAGGCCATAATCCGCCATGAGGTAGCAACGACACCCTGTTATGTGGACGATGTGTTCAAACTGTTCGAGGTACTGTGGTTCGACTAAGCGCAGGAAAGCCGTGAGGCTAGGCAAATATGGGAAAAATTGCTAAGATAAGGGAATGGGATGTCTGGCCATTGTAGGGCTGAGTGCGGATCGCGAGCCAGGAGATCAAAGGCGAGTACGTGATGGCGCGAGGAAAGACGTTCCTTGAGGAACGCCCCTTGGGCATTGAACCGCCTAGGGAAGTACCGGGTGGGATAGAGGTTAGCTTGTTGGCGGCGAGTGGAGGCTGGCACCAGGTGGCGGATTGGGTCGGAGTCAAACTTGCGGAAAACATGGTTTACTTGGTGACGGAAGTTGAGTGGCGTGCGGATGAGAATGGGGAGTGGAACCCGGATCCGCGGGGGCATGTGCATGCAGAAGGACGGTTGTATGTGTCGAAAAATGGGTGGAGGGAGTTCGAAGTCCGATTGGCATATGGAGAAGACCCGTTCAGCATGTTTGAAGGGGCGTGGCAGTTAGTGTGGCGAGCGGAATTTGAGTTCGCAGATCCGGGGGTTGACGATGTAACAGCGGACCTTAGGGTAGCCATAGTCGGGAGTTTTGAATTGCCTAGTGAAATGTACGAATGAGGCTGCCGCCCTTCCTGCTGGAAAGGCTGGGCGGTCTGGGACTTGTTAGACAAGCGGTAGCCGACCTCGCAAGCCTGACATATGAAGATGCGATGGTACATCGAGAATACTATCGGGCCTTCCTAGAAATGGGCCCGTTCAGTGGAGAGCAGAAGAATGAGGTGTTGCGCATCCTACGTGCTGTGTGTAGAACCAGGCCGAGGGCTCCGGTCGTGGGAAGTGAGGTCCTGCGGGGTGTCGTTCGACAGGAAATAAGTCAAGGGATGGTGTACGTGGATGATTTGTACCGATTGTATGAGCCGATGGACGTAGGGACGGGCCAATAAAAGAGGTCAAGGAAAGAAAAGGAAGGTTCAAGCTAGAGACCGGGGAGTGTTCGGGCGGGAGCTGAATATTAAATGAAATAAGTAAAACCGCTTGCTGTTTAAACTGTGCAGGGGACTACTAGGTCAAAAATGGCGATGAGACGCGCCCGGATGTTGCGACGGTCCACACACCCACGGCCACCCACGGAAAATGGAGGCGGATGGGAGGTATCGCTCCCAGCAAGCTACATGATCCAAGGACTGGACATCGAATGGAGGGCCGTGACCCTGGGAAGAGGTCAGACGTTCATGATGGTGGAATGTTTGTGGGATGGTATGAGGATTAACAGGGGACCGAGAGACGATCTGTACACCGATCTTAGGATGACGGGGACCGTATACCTGCCGGAACTTGGATGGTACATGCTAGGAACGGAATTGGCACTAGGTCACGGGTTGCTACCAATCTTTCAGAGGGCTACTAGGATGTTGAACAGGGTGGGCCAGGAAGTGCGAGGGAAGAAACGTGGGATTAAGAACTCGGGTGGAGGTCGGAAGTTGGCGAGAGTTTAAGGCCCCAATGACCGGGTTGAGGTGTCGAGTACCTCGTTTCATGGTGGACTTGGTATTCGGTAGCCTCAAGAGAGTTAGGGACCTGGTGGATTCGACCCTGGTTTGGATCCATCACTTCCGCCCACAAACGACGGGAATGTTTTATGACGTGTTGGTCAAGCGTGGACCGTTCTCGGGAAATCAGGCCTGGGAGTTGCTTGACCTCATTGAAATCCTGATATTCGATTTGCCTTGCTTAGCATTTGAGGAATTTGAGTCGATAATCGTCATGGAAATAGAGATGGGATAAAACTACCTTGCGGGGGTGGCTGACCTGTTCGAAGAACCGAACGAGCAAGTCAGGCCTGAGGAACCAGCATGAGAAAATGCGTCAGGAGAAGATAGGGAAATAAAGGATGGGTACTAAGATAAGAAGGCAACCATCAATGAATAAAGGGGACAGTAGTTGGAGTTCCGTCCGACCCGATAGCGCGCAAGGAGGAACTAGGAAGACCACCCGCACCAGAAAACTCTGGGGCATTTGAAGGTCGAAAAGCCAAAAGGGCCATCCTCGATAAGGAAGCCACTGGGCCCAAACACCGCCCTAAGAGCTAAAGCGCGACAGTAATAAAATGCCGAACCGCGGTGGCAAGTCCCCTGACAGAAGAAAACTTGAAGGACGCCCTGGGAAAGAAAAGTCAGGAGAGTCGTACCGAGTAATGTAAGGCACAAAAAGCTTGGGAATAGGCGGTTTTGGGGGCCGGGGCTAGGGCAGTTATGAACAACCGGCCATTTCTCGCAAAAAAAAAATTCCATGTGCAGGCTAGGTAAAGGAATGGCGACTGAAGAAGGGATCGATGACCAGCAGAGCGGAGGGAAGCAGGGCACGAATGGGGATGGGGAACGAAATGAGGGATCAGCCAAGGATCGAGAGTCAGCCAAACTGGAAGGAACCCGAGAAGACGGGAAGGACCTCTCAACTGGAGAAAGTTCGGGAAAAGTTGGGGGTAGTAAAAGGGGACCTCAGAAAAACAGGGAGGGGGGAAACGATATAAGAACAAGCCCTTGGAACTCAATAGGAGCCACCCCTAAAAAGACCAAAGTCTCAGATGCCAGTCGTAAACTGGCAGAGATAGAAAAGCGGACTGCAGAATTTAGGGCAAGGCTTATCGAGCAGATGATGGTCGGGGATGAGGAGGACCCCCAGGGCGCAGGGTCACGTGAGGGACGCAGGACCGGTCAGGACGAGGCCAGGTATGAGGGGAAGGATAATAGCCACAAAGGAATGCCTAGCAAGAAGGGGAAGGACAAGAACGACCCCCCGGCGGACGGGACAAAAAACGCCCCGCCTGCCATCGACAGCGGCACTAGCGACTGCCCGCCACGCCGAAATTAACAGGGGCGTGCGACGGACTCTGGAGCCTTAGGGAAAGGGTGCTAGGATGGTTTGACCTAGAAGGAACGCCGAAAACCAGGGAGAAGCAGAGGGAAGGGGAAGGGACTAGTGCTGCTAAAGAAGCGGGTAGCTTCGAAGGTGGTCTCAAGAGGATAGTCGCCACCCTCACCGGGGCACTAAACAAGAACCAGGGGTATCTCGCAGATGCAAAGAAGAAACTCACGTTCGATGGAGCAAACATTCGGAGTTTCTAATAGACTATGAGAACCTAGCAGCCTTACTGAAATGGACGGAAGAGGAAAACCCACACCCATCCACCATAGCCGACCACCTCAACCCTTCTTCCTCCTCCACCCCCTACACCCATCCACCATAGCCAACTACCTCAACCCTTCTTCTTCCTCCATCACCCACACCCATCCACCACATCCGACTGCCTTGACCCTTCTTCTTCCTTCATCACTCACATCTATCCACCATGCCAACTACCCCAACCCTTCTCCTTCCTCCATCACCCACACCCATTCACCATAGCCGACCACCTCAACCCTTCTTCCTCCTCCAGACCCTACACCCATCCACCATAGCCAACTACCCCAACCCTTCTCCTTCCTCCATCACCCGCATCCATCCACCATAGCCGACCACCTCAACCCTTCTTCCTCCTCCACCCCCTACACCCATCCACCATAGCCAACTACCCCAACCCTTCTTCCACCTCCATCACCTACACC